CGTATAAGGCTAAGGTACAAGCCCGACATACGACTAAAATGGCACAGCATCGCGCGGTAAACGATGACGATCGATAGTGCCCGACGTGGACAGCTATACCGAGCCCCACCGTCGTCGTACTCATAAGGCAGAACACCCAGCTCGCGATGGGCAGTTCACGCCAAGGGCGAATCGTCCCTAACGGGCTCCACGCCCGACTGAGCAACTTCGCTCCGAAAAGCCCGACATTCCATCAAGAATAACGGGCCATCTACAAGGGTCAAAAGAAAATCTCTCCCCTCGAGCACACCACTTAGGTGACTCTGGCCAATCGAAATAGGGCAGAGAACGCATACAAACGGAGGCGGGCAGACTCGCTCGCCAAATCAGAAGCCACTTACGGGCACTCCTCGGGCCCGTGACTTAGGCTAAAAATTCCTGCAAATGTACGATTTCAAACAAGGGCAAAAAATCCAAAATGTAAAACAACATTGATATAAATGCCCAAAGGCGACAAAACAATAGTAAACCGACCAAGGAGGCCGGCGATGTTCATACCATACAATGAAACGGGCACGCAGGCCCAAAGAATACAAATATCAAGGGCACGCAGGCCCGCTATCCTACTCAGACTTCCACGGAATCATCATTGTCGGCGTTCGGAGAGTCGGGTGGAGGAACGATCACGCCACCTACAATCCGGTGTGTGTGACCGATACCCTCAGTGACCAGGCCAGGGTTTAGCAAGGAGAGTTGATCGACCGCAGAATTGAACCCGTCCTCCAGGGCACCGACGCAGTCCACCTCGAGGAGCCGGATGTGGGCGACCAGCTCCATCCGACTCTTCAAAGCTACTATGTCCTCGGGCTCATCTTCGGCAGGTTGCAGGGCATCATTCATTTCCTCGACCTGTTTACCCAAGCGTTCGACTTCGGCCGCCAGTCGATCCCTGTCTGCCCGAAGAAGCTCCCCTTCCTCAGTCAACTTCCCCGACTTCTCCTTCTCCAGGGTCAACATCTCCCTCTCAGCATCGAGCATCGCGGTCTGCTCTCGGAACATCCCTTCGGAGCGTTCCAGAGCGACCTTCAATTTCCGCGAGCTCGCGGTCAGCGCCGCCTTCTCCCGCTCGAGCTCTTCAACATGGGCAGAATCCCTTCCATCCTCGGATAGCACCAAAGCCATTTCGGCCATTTTTACCAGCCCATCCACGCTGGCGGCCAGATACGCCTTCCTTTCCTCTTTACTCATCTTTTTTATGGCCTCAGCTTCATGGGCAACCACTGTCGGGGGGAATCGCTCGAAAAAGCCCGCCTCTTCGAAACAAGGGGGGAAGGCGAAAGATTTAACAGCATCGGCGTCCTCGCCGACAGTCGAACCACCTTCCACACGGGTCCTCTTCCTCTGCGTCAAAACGGCACTGGGGTCGATCTCCTCGACCTCTGGATCTGACGCGGGTCCCGAGCTCGACGGCGAGTCCACCCTCACCGACTGAGGAACATTTGGACCGGGTGGGGGACCCATCCTCGTCGCCTGTGGGGCCTTCACGACCCTCCTGCCCCGCCTCTGGTCGCAGGATAATTTCAAGAGCCTTTCATGTCGGCTAGCCATCGTACCTGCACGAAATAAAGGAAAAGTCAGTATCGAGCAAACTTCATGAGTAAATGACGAATAAAGAAGTTCAAGCAAACAACCTAACAGGCGGGCAGCCTGCCTGTAAGTCGGACACTCCACCAGCACCTTGGTGTCGATCGGACGGGACTCGAACGTCGGGTAACCATCTTTGTCCAGGATATCATCCCCTTCCCGCGTAACCCATCGGGCGGGATGGAAACTGTCGACAAACCGGCAAAGAACGTCGTACGCCCGCTCATCTTCCGAGCACATGTCCCCGACGGCGGTATGGTAATAACCGGTCCCATGCTCGTAATGTCGGGACATCCAGTACACCGGGATTTTAGCCCTACGACCCAACACAGGGCTCCCATCGTCGCTCATCATCGTTTCCCCATCATCGTCGCTCACTGACCCCTCCTCCTCGAAAAGGGAATTTAAAGCAACGTCGGTAACTGGCCGTACCACGTACCACTTGTCTTTAAACCCCCTCACGGAGTCCATATACATCTTAAAGAGTCTCCTCGACTGCTTCAGGGAGACCCAGCTATGTTTCCCTCCTCGGGACTGACGCTGCAGGTGAAATACCCGGAAGAAAAAAGGGATGGTCGCCCCAATCCTCAGGTAGCGACACGTCAACTCAAACGCCCAGATGAAGGCGAGAGAGTTTGGGTGTAGCTGGGACGGGGCCAGCTCCAAGTGCATAAAGACCCCGACCTGAAAATCAGTGAATGGCAGCCGCAGCCCTAGGTCTTTGAACGCGATCTCATACATCGCGAGGCTGTAATTCGGATAGACCGAGCAAATCCTTGCCCGGGTTGACGGAACCATAACTACAAAGTTTTTCTGGAAGCCGGGCTGGTCTTGACCCTCTTCAACGACGTCGAATGGATGTCGGTCGTCCCGGCTGTATACCGACGCTATCCCCCGCGGCTCGACGCCCACCCATTCCAGCAAAGGGTCGGTCACGGTATCAATCAGGGTGACCGACTCGTCGGCACTCTGTTCGTCACGGTCGCGGCGTCCGGAAGAGCTCGGCTCGTCCGCCATGGTTACCTGCAGAGCACGAGAAACCAGTTAGTTGAGCACGAAGTCCTACGCTCGACAAAATCATGTGGTCCCATACACGACTACATGAGTCCATTTTCCACGAATGGTTGCCTCCCCGACGTCCTGAACCCGGTGTTCTTCCTCAAACCAACTGCGCGGCCACTCTGCAAGCATGTCGACCCGAGGTATGAACATGGCGAGCCGCACCATGAAGCCCACGGCCAATACCATGAACATACCGGGCGCGATCATGAATCAGGCGCCCTGGATCATGAAGACCCCGGGCAGCTCTGAAGTTTATCACCTAAACTATGAATGTGCCGGCCACAAACATGCGTTTGCCGGTCCTAGACATGAATGTGTCGGGCTAAGCACGAGTTTACCGGGCTAATCCCACGCGCACGGTCCTAAAACATCTACAAACGCCAGAAATCATGCATTCTAAACGGAAAAATGAAGAAGGTAGATCACTTACTTGGATCAAAGAGTGGGATCTGGCTACGAAATGGAAGAATCTGTGACGAGAAGTCGCAACTGGAGAAAGTCTGGAAGAGCAGCAGCAGAGAGAGCACAGAGAGCAGAAAACGTATTATGGGGCCCAAGGTTCCTATTTATAGTGATGACGTGGAATACCAAACGTCACCTCGGGCAACCACGGACTCCATCTCCTCGACACGCTGCTCCCAACGCAATGATGGCCCTACCCCCATAGGGTGGCGGCACAGTTCCCGAAAGATACATCGTGTGCTCGACCGACACGCCCGGTAAGGATCCTCCGCGCATCCACCTCCGAGGACGTCTCCGAGCACGACACGAGGAGGCCCCTCGAGGGCCCACACCTCTATCCCGGGCACGAGACCTCAGCGATGGAATAACGGGTTCAAGTCATGGCTCCTCGCAAAGGAACCACGACTTGGGGGGCTCCTGTTCTGGACTGGGCCCGACAGGCCCAAAAGCATTACCAAGGCCCAATCCAAAGGGACTTACTGAGGACCACGCCGAGCAAATGGGTCACATCCGTGCCCGACATCCTGATGTCCAGCTCGACATCCCGCTGTCCAAATCCACGTCCTGACGCCCAGCACGATACCCTGCTGTCCAGCTCGACGTCCTGGCGTCGAGCACGGCACCCTGTTGCTCAGCTCGACGTGGTCTCGAGCAACCCAGCTAGGGCAGACTCAGTCCACCGTTCCCCCCACGATACTCCGGAAAGACCGCGTCTCCGTCCGCCCGCACTTCACGCAGAACATCCAGGAAGGGGACCACGTGCGGGTCCCCACTACCCACGTAGAACCTGGCAGTTCCTCCATTGGGCCAAATCCGCCCGGCCCAATGGAGGAACCTTGGCCCAGCGCTGGGGGCTATAAATACCCTCTGTTTCCAGAGGGTCAGGTATTCATCATTCTAACCTCAACTTACTATTATCTGCTCGTACTCCTACTTACTTCAGCATCGGAGTGCCTTGCAGGTACCCCCCCCCCCCCCCACCTCGTTCAAAAAAGCTTTCTGCTCGGAGCCAGCCGTGACGGTCCATTTCTGATCAGGTCAGATCAACAACCATTCACACATGGCCCCAAATCACACAAGAACAATTCTAATTACCCATACTATACAAATATCAAATAGCATTATTTTAGATATTCAATTCATTATCACTCTTATACTAGTGTTGAAATACTAATATTATAGATTCACTCATTCTCCTCGTATTAAAAATTTGCTCCACCGTACTGAGAACTTGTTTCACCAATTCCTTACACATTTCTGGTTCATGAACCAAAACATACGTACATACTATAGATTGTAATTTGTACAATAGAAACAGAATAAGAAGCCAATATCCGTATAAAATCTACATAATTGCTAATAAATAAAAATTTAACATATCACTACAAAGATTATAAAATCTATTCCCGGTATACCTTGATCCAAATAGCAAGATTGTTTATTCTCTTAGCAATAACTCATTCTCTTAATAAGTCCATTCCAGCGAAATCAGCCATATATAACATAACCTAGATAGAAAAACAAAAAAAACTTTTAGAAAAATAGTGATACTATCTATATGTAAATGATGAATCCCATCTTTGCATTTGATGTTCTAAGTAATTTTTTAAATATAGTACTACTATCTTTATGTATATGATACAAATGAATCCCATATTTGCATTTGATGTGTTGAGAAATTTTCTTTAACTTATTAAAAATAGTACTACTATACATTTATGTAGGTCAAATATATCAATTTTCCATAACTTATTGGGATGCATGAACCATCAAACCTTAGGGCTGTCCATAAAAACATAACACCACACCCCAACCCAACATACTCAACAACATCTTAACAAAGAGCTTGTAAAATGGCAAAGCCTTTTTCTAATGATTCTAGTGCAGTCACCATCCTCTCAAAGTGCACTGTTTTTCCAGACAAAAAGTCATCTCTTGGAGACTTAAAACTCTCTGTCTCAGACCTCACCATGATATGTTCTCAGTACATCCAAAAAGGTTGTCTCTTCACAACACCATCTATCCCCTCTCAAACACTCATTCCTCACCTTATAACTTCTCTCTCCAAAACCCTATCTCTATTCCCTCCACTGGCTGGCCGTTTGGTAACTAACCCCGATGGTTACATCTACATCTCATGCAACGACGCTGGCGCTGATTTCATCCATGCAAACGCCACTCACCTAACTACCAACGACCTTTTGTCACCGTCTGATGTCCATGCTGCCTTCAAGCAATTCATCCCTTTTCACTGTAAAATCAACTACTCCGCTCATTTCTCACCAATCTTGGCTATCCAGGTCACTTACCTCGCTGACGGAATCTTCATCGGTTTCGCCGTATCCCACGCTGTCTCTGACGGTACTACCGTCTGGAACTTCTTCAACACGTTCGCTGAGATTTCCAGGGGAGTCACACAACCTAGTAGAATCCCGAACTTTCGCCGGGATTCCATTCTCAACTCAAAAGCCGTCCTCCATTTACGAGAGGACGACATCAATGTAACTCCCAAAACTGACGAGCCTGTACGTGAGAGAATTTTCACTTTCACTCGCGAAGCAATTCAGAAGCTAAAAGCAAGAGTGAATCGCAACCATACATCACCGGCGGAGATCTCATCGTTCCAGTCGCTCTCCGCTCTAATGTGGCAATGTGTTACACGCGCTAGGAAACTTGAGGGCACAAAAACAACGACTGTTAGAATAGCGGTGAATATTCGTAACCGTTTGGAGCCAAAGTTATCGGAGTATTATTTCGGTAACGCGATTCAGAGCATTGCTACGTATGCATCTGCATGTGATGTGGTTGATAAGGATCTTACGTGGTGCGCGGAGCAGTTGAACAAGAATATTAGCGAGTACGATAGTGATAAAGTGAGGCGCGTCGTAGAGGATTTCGAGCGCGAGCCGAAAGCGGTTAAGATGGGGAATCATGATGGTGGGATAGTGCAGATTGGTAGTTCGCCTAGGTTTCCGATGTATGATAATGATTTTGGATGGGGGAGGCCGGTGGCGGTGAGGAGCGGCGGAGGGAATAAGTTTGATGGGAAGATATCGGCGTTTCCGGGAAAGGAAGGCGGTAATTCAGTGGACATGGAGGTGGTTTTGGCAACAGAAACGATGAGGATTCTTGAGAATGATCCTGAGTTTTTGCTTTACGCTTCTTGAGGAATGACAGGTGTCATTTGAAGCGCGTAGTTCTCACTTGCTCTCTTATTGGTCTATTGCTGTTTTTCTTTTGTGTGTTAAATTTTAAGTAAGTTGTGTTGCAGAATAAGGAATAAAACTGAAATGCTGTAACGGCTCTTTGCGAACCATTGTGACCTATTTTTCACGTGTTACTTAAGTTGGAATTGATTAGTCATCTATTTGGTTGGAAAGTGTGTTTCCACGCACAGGATATCGTGGCAAATTACCACGTCAACTAGAGTTTGAATTTACTCTTCCGGCTTTAATTATAAACAATTTTTTAGTTAAATGAGTTTTTATCTATTCAATTAAAAAATTTAGATAAAATTATTCTTAGAATAAAATATTTTGAGAATTACAAACAATTATATTATTTAGTAATAGATAATTATATATGTTTAAATTAAGGTGAATCCTAAACTATCTTTTATAAAATTATGCATAATTTATCTTAAATAATTTATATTAATGAAATTTTTTTATATAAAATAAAATTTTAAAATTATATATTAATCTAAAATTTTATGATATTAGATATATGTTTCTTCTTATTTAAAAAAATTTAACATTCTCTATTTTATTCAATATACGGATTATTATTTATACGTGATATACTAATATTTTATTATTCAAAAACTAAATCATAATATTTTTATTTAATTTTGATTTTTTTATAATTTTTTATTAATATTTAATTTTAAAATTTTAATTTATATGGCAAAATTTCATTAATACACTTAGAAGTAAATTATCTTAAATTTTATGAAGGATAGTCAAGAATTTACCTAAAATTAAATGGTATTGTGTGAATAATTGAAGATAAACTATCCAATTTTTTTATGATGGTTAAAGAAGTTGTCCTCTTTTATTTATTAACAATAATATTAAATGTATGTTTGATTCCAAGATCTGGAATTAATTACAAAGATATAAAATTAATTCGGAGTGATTTTGAAGTATTTGGTTTTTAAAAATATAACTAATTTTATCCACATAATTAATTCTATTTGAAATGAATTTGTAATTTTTAGTTTCAAAATTAATTTTTAAAAATTTTATATTAAAATTTATTGTTTAACTCATTTTCACATAAATATATTTAAATATCAATTATATTAAATTTAATTATATTAAAATCAATTCTGTTAAATCCAATTTGATTAGAATAAATTTTGTTGTCATCGATCTAATTATTTTTTATTTTATATAAAAGAATAAATACTAACTAAATGTAAGTAACTTTAGTGAAAATTTAATGTTATTTTGCAAAATAAACTTTAATTATTAATTCTTAACCAGCTATTTAGTGGTGCGATGCACGAAATTTTTTATTGAATTATTATTAATTAATATATATTAAAAAAACTTATTTAAGTGTTTTATATTAATTATTTTTTTAAAAATATCAACAATTAATAGTTTATATGTATGAAAAAAATTAATATGATTTAAAAAAAATTGAATATTGTAAAATTATAAACAAAAATTTATGTACAAATTTATTTTTTATAAACCTACTTGTGTTATATATGTAAATAATAAAATTCAATTAAAATATATAAAAATTAGAAAAATTAAGATAAACAAAAAAGTAAAAAATAATAAATAAATGAAAAAAAATAAGAAATAGAAATAAATTATAAAAGGATAAAAAAACTAAATACGGTAATAAATTAATAAAATAAATAAAATTGAACTATTTAATTAAAAGTTATTTAACTCGATAACAAATAAATATATATTTTTGGCAACAAATAGTACTGTTAATGGAAAAACAATAAGATAAAAAAAAACTAAAAATTAAATTTTATTTTAGGAACAAAAAAAGTTTTCATTAGGATGAGCATGAATAAGTAAGTGGTGGTAGTAGATCTAATAAAATAAAATTAAATAAGATTGTGATGGTGATAGTGACAATGGTTGGAAGAGAGAGATAGAGAGAATGAGTAAAATGAAATAGTAGTATATAAATGTTTTTTATATTGATTGTATTTTAAAATTGAAAAAATTTAAAATATTTGTTATATTTGACTACTAAATACAAAATTTACATAATTAAAAAAAAAAATCAAGACCCAACAAACATCGATAAAATTAGACTGGCATATCATATTATAACTGAAAATTTGAATAGTAAAAATAAATTAAAAAAATAATGTTTGGTCGGTTTATAACTGAATTATAAGATTTGAACTAAATAAATAAATGAAAAAAAGTTAGGTTGGTCTGGTTTAATCTCCTTTCACGTTTTAAAGAACCTTGGTTTTAATCAATTACAAATAGTAGAAATAGAATTGTGATGGAAGAATTTGGTCGGAGCCTTTATAAAATATATAAATTTAATATCCTTTGGTTTAAGAGGGAAACAAAAAGAAAATTATGGAAAAAAAACAGCTTCTTTTGTTTGGTTGAATAAAAACAGAGAAATGTAATGCTTTTGAAAAGTTAAATAAGTCCCTAACTATTACATTACATTTTGTACTTGATTTATATCTACATTTTACAAAAATCATTGTTTTTTTTTTTATAACTGGCCTTTTGTATTAAGCAAGTTGAGTCAAAGGAGGCAAATTACAAGTGAAGCCATCATCCAAAAACGGAACGAAGTCAATCCAAAATTTGTTTCCTACCATTTTGCCTACACTCACTATATGATGAGCTTCAACATTATAGTTCCTACCCCAATGCATAATAACACGGGCCGAATTAAAGCTAGACAACAAAGAAATGCAATAAAAAACAATAGGCTTTAATTATGTGGTGGAATAAGCACACCCGTTAACACAATCCACCACAAACAAGACATCGGATAGAAAAACCAAGTTGTCAAGATTAAGGTCCTTTGACATTTGTAGCCTAACAATGTCACAAATTCCACCACACAAGGAGATACCTGTAAATTTTCTCTTTTACTAGCAGCCCCAACAATACCTTGTTCACCATCCTTGATGACACACTCCATAACAACTTGATCACTATTATAACATATGTTTTGGATTGATTCAACGGTTAGAGTGGGCCAGTCTGGCCTCCTCCTTCGATAAGGCTCGTGCGGCCACGGTCTGAGCTCTCTCGTCTTTCGCCAGGTACTATCGATCGTTTGCTCTCTTGGACCAGCACTAACCTACAATAATCGACGAGTGTTTCTCAGTCTGCCCAACCTCAAGTTGACCAGACAATCAGGAATCGACCAGACCGCTGCCCGTAACCTACCTCCTCCTCAGAAGTAACTACTAGTTGCAGACACACCTGCCCGGTTGGACCAAATCGTGTCAGTTACTTATTTTTGCGGATAAATATATCTAGGTTCAAAAATAGGGACTAATGACCAAGCACCAGGGGCACCATATAAATCCTCACTCATGTGAGGGTCAGGTATTGAATATTGACTATTCATCACTAAAACTCTAATACTTTGCTTGTATCTCTTTTTGCTCTCACACTTACTTGATCGTCGGAGTGCCTTGCGGGTACAACCCCATTTTTTCCTCCTCGACTTTTCAGCCCGTCTGAAGATCATCATCCAACCACCTTGCAGGTTCTGATCAACCGGTAAGATCAGTGGCGCCGTCTGTGGGAAACTATCTTCCCCGTTTTCTACTCCCAGAATATGAAGACCAAAGATCATCTACATTCACCAATCATGGTCGATCACGGTGATCACCACCTATCTGGAAAGACTGTGCTCTCCCCATCATGCAAGACCAGCGGAAGTCAAGAACATCCTCACCTCGAGGATAACTTCGGCGCCCGTGACGAACATACTGCATCCCCGGATTCCATCGACATTAATTGCGACAACAATCTATTCTTGGACGAACAGTTTCCCTAGAACCCTGTCGAAGACCAGTCAGAGATTCTACAACTGGTCCCTGTTCCGCAGAATGTCGACCCAACTATAGCAGCATTGATCGTTGCCCTTAACCGAACCAACTCCCTCACCCTCCAGCAAAGCAAAAGGATAGGGGCTCTGGAGCGGAAACAGTCAAGGTCTCCCCCTTGGAGACACCAATGACATAACTCCTCTAGCATATCACCTCCTTGAGAGGGGCGTCCTCCAAGAAAGGAAAGACTCGACGTTTCTTTCTGCAAGAAGTGTGATCGAGCGTCTCCCAAGAAGGATAAAGACTCTCTGTTTCCCAAAAAGACGAAGAGCACCTGAAAAGACGACTGCAGCAGGTGACTATCACCCAGACTGATGCAACGAGGGCGGAGCCCCTCCCCTCGACGAGATGACAACGCCCGACAAGAACGAAACTATCACTCCCCATCATCATCACCAGAAGAGACCGGTGACGACGAGCCCTGCGGCCCGTTATTGAGAGAAAATATGGAGGCACGACTCCCCGTTGGGCTCGAGAAACCGCCCCCATTGGGATCCTATAACGGTACGACCGACCCGGACGATCACATAGAAGACATCGACGCCCTACTTGATTACTGAGGCTTGAAGGGTGCAATCAAATACAGGTTGTTCCCGACCACTCTGAGAAATGGTGCCATGGCTTAGTACGAAAGCCTGCCCCTGAATCTATCACTTCTTGGAAATAGCTAGGAAAGATATTTTCGAGGCACTTCACCGCCTCCTGTCGGCATCCAAAATAAGAGGCTTCACTCGAAGCGATTATCCAAGGCAAAGATGAATCTCTATGTACATATATCGAGCGCTTCAACAAAGAAGTCATACAGGTCTCGACGACCGATGCCATGAAGAAGTACATTCTTGAACGAGGGCTCCGTCCCTGCAACGACTTCGCGAAGGTTGTGGGTATCAAAACTCCAGCCACGCTTGACTCCCTCCTCCTTAAAGCTCAAGCGTACACTCAGTACGAGGAGAAAGAAGCAGCCAACAATGCTAGAGATTCAAGGCACCGAGAGAGTGCCAAACCCTCAAGAAGTGACGAGCCCTCGACATCCCGTCAGGGGGAGAGAGAAAGCGGGAAGACAGATCCCGAGACTCCAAAGATTACAAGGGGCCT